TAACTCCTCAGGTCTTTGAAGGCACCTGCATTCATGGGCACATATACACATGTGCAAATAATTAAAACTAATAAAAAGAAATCTTAGAAAATACTTTTATAAAAAGGTAGATGGGTGGAGTGGATACAAAGACAAGTGTTCCGACACAGAGAATAAATGTTGAGAACTGCAGCACGCAGGCAGCACCCTTAGGAGTGCGGACTATGGGGTTCCTTCAGCCTTCCTCTGTTTACAGACTGTCATACAATGACACAGCGCTTGCCAAAGCATAATAAAATTTTGAAGAAAAGTACTTCCTTTTTTAACTATTAAATGTTTCATTTGGCTGGGCAGTGGTGGCACACACCTTTAGTCCCAGCACTCTGAGTTTGAGGCCAACCTGGTCTACAGAGTGAGTTCTGTTCTGGGACAGCCAGGGCTACACAGAGAAACCCTGCCTTGAAAACAATACATTAATTAAATAAAATAAATACTAATTAATTGAATTAATTTAAACGAATTAATTCAAATCTTGTGCTGGAGAGGAAACTTGGATTTTGAACATGCTCTCTCACTGCGTTACATCTCCCCGGCCTCCTAAATGTTCTCTTTCTACCTCTCTATGTTCAGGTGCATGGCACACCCATGAGCTGGGAAGATTTTCACACTGAAATTGTTAGCCAAATTTGCAGAATCTCTTCCCACTCAGTACCATTCACAAACAAGCAGCTCTGGAAGCAGCCTGGATGATTTCCTGGATGACCAAAGTATGAAGGCAGCTTCTCCCTGAGCAAGGCCAGGGTGATGTGTTCAGTTAGGACTGAGCCACAGGGAGCAGTGTGTGCACACTCTCCTCGGAGCGCTTCCTTTCTGTTGTTTTTATTCTGGGGACAGGACACACTACTAGGGATTGAACCCAGAATCTCCAGCCTGCAGGACAAGAACTCTACCACTGTGCTACACTGTCAGAGCTTTCCATGGAGAAAGTTTCCAAAAACCAGGGAACCACTTATCTTCTTTCCTAATGTATTCATCGCTGGATCTGTCCTGGCATCCATGGGTGTGCCATTATCATAATGAGCTTAAGGTCCTTCCATTCCTGTGGCTTTTTGTGGTGTTTTGTTTTTCCAGACAGGGTCTCACTGTGTAGCTCTGGCTGTCCTGGAACTCCTTCTGTAGACCTGGCTGCTCTCATACTCACAGAGACCCTCCTGCCTCTACCCAGTGCTGGTATTAAAGGTGTGGGCCACTCCCCAGCTCAGTATGGCTTTAAGCAAGGTAGAGCCAGTCTGGAGTTGTCCTAGGGAGTAGGGGCGATCATTAGGGCACTTGATGGGTGCCAGTTGGAAGCAAAACAGATTAAAGAGACTCATCTCTTCTCTGGGCATTAGACAGGTGTTGGGCTCTGGAGAAGAAAGTCAACATCTGTTAAAATCATTGATAATTAGCACTAACACTTAGCTAAATGCAAGCACTCCTGATGTTTGTGGTTCTGAAAGTTAACAAAAATGTTTGGCATGATCCAATGTGACTCCCCATGTGGCAGCTGCCTTAGACTTTCTTGCTGCCAAATGGCTGCCCTTATACCAGTACCAGCCATCTGAAACACACTACAGACACCTTTGAGAAAGCTAATTAATGATTACAGATGATCATCAGAGCTCCTGAAGGCACAGTGTCAGCCACGGCTGGCTCAAATAGTTTTCAGTGGTTCTTTTGGTTTCATGAGTCTCATTGAACTTGAGAGGACCCTGTGACTACACCCACGTAGGCTAGAGGAGGAGCATTTTTTCCTTGTGGCCTAGCAGAAAGATGGTGGCAATTGGTGCTAGGAGCCAAGGCTGATTATATCGTTGCCTCAGCATCTCAGACCCTAAGACCCCGAAGATTTGACAGCTCTGTGTCCAGGGCCTGCAGTATTTCTTTTCTGGGTCCTCCACTCCCAGCTCTTTGCTCTTTCTCGTGTCTCTGCATCCACTGTCCTCCTTCCTGTGCTGGCTGCTCTCCAACTGCTCCACTTCTTTTTCCGATGTCGAAGAGTTGGCTGCCTTGACCCCATTTACTGGTGGTCCTGCCAGCCACTCAGCTGCCTCTTGAGTCACCCACCATCTTTAGGGCTGTCTCTGCTGCCTCTTCCATCTTAACTCTGCCAACTCTGTTGAAAAGAGGAAAGAACAAAAATAACACAAAACCCCAAACTATCCAGTTGAGAAGTTCCTGTGTGGAACTACAGCAGCTATACCAGCTGAGGCTTGTAGCGAGAAATCTCAAGGCAAACCCACTAGGTGACCCTCAGCAGCCTGAAAAGGATGTTTAGACCAGGACCAATCATAGCCGTTAGCTTTGGACAAACCTTAGCTATTTGTTTTGGACTAATCACAGTCTTGCCTCTTAAGTACCAACCAGAAACACGGAGACTTGTGCTTGGCCTTATCTCAACTCTTAGTACCAATCAGAGTCATGTTTTTACTAGGTCACAAGGAGTCATGTTCCCCTCTTGCTCCTGAAAGGAAATAGTGGCAAAATTACAGTTCACTGGGTCTCTCGATACGCAATAAGTCAGAGTAACAGTAAAGCTGTGCCTTCAGGAGCTAAAGCAATCATTATGATCATTAGTTTTCTCCAGGCATCTGCGGTGCGTTTCAGCTGGCTGGTACTGGCATAATTCAGTCCAGCTGGCCATCTGACTGACAGTTCTTTTACTTAAGGTAGCAAGAGAAAGTCCATCAGCTGCTACTTAGGGAAGCAGATTGCCTCGTTCCCCAAAGGCCCGGCTTACCTGTAGGAAAACGAAGCAGAAGTGTTTGCAATAAAAACCGGAAGAACTTTTAACATTTAGGAGTGATTGTAACAAATGTTTCACCTTGCTAAAATTGCTCAACATCTGCTCCATGCCACAAGAAGAAACAAATTCCCTTTGTCTGTCTCTTTGGCACAGAAGTCAGAGTGGCAGAGATGACAAGAGACATACCCAAGATAGACTCATAAACGGCCATTCTCCTTGACATAACCTCTCACCTCAGCCCACGGTCCTGTAAGCAACCATAGTAAACGTTTATGGAGAACAAGGGTGTGTGGAGGCCTAGAGAGACGTCTCAGTAGTTAAGAGCACTTGCCGAACTTCCGGAGGCTCCCAGCACGGTCTCCGCCACCCACATCAGGCAGCTCACAGCCACATGCAAGGCCAGTTCCAGGGGACCAAAGACCCTCCTTGGTTCTCCACACACACCTCACACATGCACATACTCACACACATACACACAAAGTTAAAAATAGAATAAACTATTTTAAGAAAACAACAAACATGAAAATAAAAGAAAGACTGGCTGAAAAGGAAGGGGATCAGCAGGAGCAGGAGAACAACAAAAGGTAATGGGGTGAATGTGGTAACATACATTTTATACATGCGTAAAAAGGTCAGACCAATTATCCAATTATCAAAGCTAATGAATATACTCTAATAAAAAAAATCCATAAATGACATCCATTTGTAAATAAACACAATGTAAATCTGTATTTATTAAGCAATAACCACACTTTTTTTTTTTCAAGTATGGGTCAATATCTTACGTAGTATAATTGTCCAGGCATAGCAAGACATGCTTATAATCTCAGTATTCTGGAGGCAGAGGCAGGAGACTCCCAAATCTGAGACCAGCCTGGGCCACATAACAAGATCCTGTCTCAAAAAACAAACCACATCAGGTGTCAAAGGTACGTGGCTCTGTGAGTTCAAGACCAGCCTGGTCTACCTAGTGAGTTTCAAGACAGCCAGGACTACACAGAAGAGACTCTGTCCCAAAGCAAAACAACAAAAGTTGCTTTCCCAGTGGCCCTGAGTTTGATTCGTAGCACCCATAGCACCCACATCCGGTGGCTTAGGACCACCTGTAACTCCAGCTCCAGGGGATCGTTCACACCTCTGGCCTCTGCAAGCAAAATGTATCCATGTGTACACCTGCCCACACATACACAAAACTGAAAGTAATGGGGAAAAAACGACAAAACAAACAATTCTCTCTGACTTATCTCAAACATTAGATTTTTAAGGAAAATGATAGTTCTCAGCAACCAAGGAAAGAAATACACGCTTTGGAGGAGATGATAAGAAGAGGAGGTGATATGACATGAATTAGGGAATGGAAAATGGATGCCCCTTCCCACTCAGCAATAACTTTTCAGAGGACTGATAAGGCACTTCCAAGTGTGACTTGAATCTAAATCTCACCTTTGTGTTAAAAAAGAGCAGGGCGTGGTGGTGCACACCTTCAGTCCTAGCACTGGGGAGGCAGAGGCAGGTGGATGTCTCTGAGTTTGAGTCCAGCCTGGGCTACAGAGCAAGTTCCAGGATAGCCAGGGCTACACAGTGAAACTCTCCTCAAAAATGAAAAAACAAACAAACAAACAAACAAACCAAAAACACAAATAAAAATTACAGTTCCTGCGAAAGTTAGTCAGGAGTCCCACGGGGCCTCAGGGGGTCACGAGCCACTCACACTATCATTATGTGCAACTGCAGATAGATGTTCCTGTATTTATTAAAATAGCAATCAAGTCAGGTGTGGTACCATCACCGGTGAGGCAAAGCCTGGTCTACGTACTTCCAGGCCAGACGACTACATAGTGAAACATCGTCTCTAATGATGATGATTACCAAAAGCATTTTATGAGTATAGGCCACTGTTTTACAGAATGTAGATCTCGTCAGCCACGCATGGTAATTATCCTACCTCTAATCCCAGCACTCTGGAAGCTGAGACACGTATTTCGTCTAGCAGAATCCCCACCTCCCACCCCCACGACAGTCACCTGCCAAGTGCCCTCGAGCCAAAAGGGATAAGCACACCTAGAGCCGTGTGCTCAAACCCGGAGCTTTAACAGCGGGAGCATGAAGGGAGGAACCACCCGGCCAGCGGGCGAGGGGGAGGTCAGGTTGTGTGAACAAGAGTAGGGACAGGACCAGAACCGCAGACGCTCGGAAGCCTGGCAGCTGGCCAGCCACACGCAAGGCGCAGCCCGGAGGGGCTGCGTTTGGGTAGCCCGGAGGCATGCGCAGGCCTGTATCCACCCCTCCCTACCCCCGTGTTTAGTGGACTCTGCTGTAGCCCCGCGAATCCCGCCAAACCCCATTCTCTCCCCTTTCTGCTCTTAGCCTTTGTTGTGCTCCGGAACCTGCGAGCTGAGGTCCCGGACAGCATCTCGGAACGTGTTCAGGGACCGGACCGCTCCGCCCTTCGCCAACTCTGCCACCCCAGGCCTCTCGGATTCGTGCTCCTTGGGCCCTGGACCCCATGGCCGATAAGAAACTGGTGGTGGTTTTTGGAGCCACAGGTGAGAGAAGCAGCCCTGGCAAGGTCTGCGGAGGCCCTCCTGCTTCTGACTTCAGAGTAAAGGCTAGGATTAAAGGCGTGTGGCACCACCGCCTGGTTGAGTGATTCTTCATAGAGATGAGGCGTATTTGGGTCCAGGACACACGGTGGGTAGAATTAGAGAAAAATGGTTACACGATTCAGTGATTAAATTAAAAATAATTTTTGTTCCAGCTGGCATGGTGGCACATGCCTGTAATCCGAGCATTCGGGGATTCAGAGGCAGGCAGATCTCTTTGAGTTCGAGGTCTGCAAAGTAAGTTCAAGACACTCAGGGGCTACCCAGAGACACCTATCTGGAAAAAAACGAAACAAAACAAAACAAAAAAAAAGCATTTTGTTATGTATTTATTCCTTTGTTGCTTTCTGTGTGTGTGGTGCTCAGGATTGAATTTAGGGATCATAGATTCTAGGCAAACATACTACGACCAAAATACACCATCAGCCCTTGAATCATACACCTTTAAAAGGTAAAGACCGGGGCTGGAGAGATGGCTCAGAGGTTAAGAACCTGACTGCTCTTCCAGGGGTCCTGAGTTCAATTCCCAGCAACCACATGGTGACTCACAACCATCTGTAATGAGATCTGGTGCCCTCATCTAGCGTGCAAGCATACATGCAGACAGAACACTGTATAAATAATAAATCCTAAAAAAAAAAAAAAAAAAAAAAGGTAAAGACCTACTGGTCTCTCCATCCCCACTTAAGAGGCAGTAACTGGCTAGCTCCTTGGTGCACCCGAGTAAAATCAAGCTTGCTTCCAGTTTGGCTAAAACAAAATGCTGCTTGCCAAAGACCCCCGGCTTCAGTTCCCAGCATCCATATGTGACAGCTCACAACTGTCCGTAACTCTAGTTTTAGGGGACCTAATACCCGCCTCTGGCTTCCGTGGACACCAGGCACAAATGTGCTGCACATAACACATACAGGCGAACTGTCATAGACATAAAACAAAGGAATCCCAGAGGAGAAAGTTAAAGTCTCGAAACAAAACAAAACATAAAAAAAACTAGTAAAGAAGCTGACTGTGGTAGTGGGTATCTTTAATCCCAGCACTCAGGAGGCGAGGCAGATGGATCTCTGAGTTCAGTGCTAGCCTCATCTACATCTGAGTTCCAGGTCAGCCAGGGCTACACAGTGAGGTTCTGTCTCAAAACAAAACAAACTAACCTCCAGAAAACCTAAAAATAGTTTAAAGAGACTCATGTTTCTTGGGCGTTTTTTGCTTTGGTGGAGCAATCCCTTCTAGGCTCGCTCTCCTCTGTCACTGACTCTGGCAGTTATGACCCAGAGATTCTTTTTTTTTCAATTTATTTCATTTTATTTAATGTGCATCAGTGTGAAGGTGTCAGATCCCTTGGAACTGGAGTTACATACAATTGTGAGCTGCCATGTGGGTGCTGGGAATTAAACCTGGGTCCTTTAGGAAGAGCAGACAGTGCTCTTAACTGAGCCATCTCTCCAGCCCCTTCTTTTTAAAACTCTTTACAGGTGCCCAAGGTGGCTCGGTGGCACGGACATTGCTGGAAGATGGGACGTTCAGGGTTCGAGTGGTAACAAGGAACCCTGAGCAGAGAGCAGCCAAAGAACTAAAGCTCCAAGGTGCTGAAGTAGTGCAAGGGGACCAGGATGACGAGGCTAGCATGGAGCTGGCGCTGACTGGAGCTCATGCCGCCTTCATTGTGACCAACTACTGGGAGAAGTGCAGTCAGGCCCGAGAAGTCCAGCAGGTAAGGGTGTGAGGAGACCAGGGCTTGGTTTAGTGTGTCCTAGACAAGGTGCGTGGGACCCAGTTGATCAGGAGGCAGCTTTGACTTGACAGGGAGGACTGAGCACTTCAGGTCCTGCTCTTTTTCTTGTTGCTCTTGATAGAGGACACACCTTCTGCATACCTTATAAACCCTTGTGGGATTTGTAGTAAGTAAATGTGCTGTGCTATATAACGTTTATTATTTGCCTTATGATTATCACAGCGGTGTTATCTAGCCCACTATCACAAATAATGAGACACAGACCCCTGTTAGACTTATAATTGCCTTATTTACCTTGGGCCAGGCAGAATTCCTACCTATGCTGTCTGAATCCCCTCACCAGCCATCTCCCAGCCCCCATCCAATGCCATCCTCCTTAGCCATCCTATCTTCCATCCATAATCTTATAAATACTTGCATTTATTCTTCCTCTGGGCCTTTTTACACCATTGGAGTCCTTCCTCCTGGCCCCACTTGGTTTCTTCTCCATGTTAACCCATTGTAGTATCCTCCTTCTTCCTCTCCTCCCATGATTCCTCCTGGGATTCTCCAAAGCCACACCTACCCCATTCTGTCCTGCCCAGGTATAGGCTCAGGCAGGTTTACACAGAGGGCAATAATACGCATCAGACTAAACCATGCAACAGGAACTAAACCACATACATACCACAGCACATGGGACAAAGATCTTGTCGAAACAGATTTCTCTTCTTAGTCCTGGGAAACCCCTGTGAGCTCCCTGTGGCCATGAGAACTATACTCCAGGTAGTTCAGAACCACAGAAATTGTCTAATAGTTCTAAAAGTTGGAAATCCAAGTTGAGGTGTCAGCAAGGTCCTTAGTCCTTTCTAATGCTTGAGGAAGAATGCTTCCCCAGCATGTCCAGCTTTTGTGGCTCTAGGTATGCCTATGCTTGTGTCTTATGTCATACTGCTATCTGCTTCCATAGTCTCATGGCTTCTCCTTGTGTGTTTTATTTTGGCAGAGAGGGGTGAGACCAGGTCTTGCTATGTTGCCCAAGTGGGCCTGGGAACTTGTGATCTTAAATGCTAAATTTATAGATATATGCCATCATGTCTGGCTCTGGCTTGTTTTTACATTTTTATTATTTGTTTATGGTATTGGTTTTGTTACTTTTTATTTTTATTTTTGCTGTAAAGAGGACACCATGACCAAGGCAACTTATAAAAGAAAATGTTTATTAGAGCTTATGGTTCCAGAGGGTTGAAGTCCATTGTGATCATCATGGTGGGAAGCATGGCGGCAGGCAGGCATGGCACTGGAGTAGTGGCCTGATCCATGGGCATGAGGTTCAAAGAGTGTTACCTGGGAATGCTGTGAGCTTTTGAAGCCTCAAAGCTCATCCCCAGTGACACACCTTCTCGAACAAAGCTACACCTCCTAATTCTTCCCAAACAGTCCCACCACTGGGACCAAGTATTCTAATATCTGAGCCTATGGGGACTGTTCTCATTCTAACCACCACAGGTGTCTTGCCTTTATTTATGTCTGTGAATCCTGGAACTGGAGTTACAGATGGTTGTGAGCGGCTGTGAGGGTACAGGGAAATGAACCTGGGTCCTCTGGAAAAACAGCCAGGCCTCTTAACTGATGAGCCACCTCTCCAGATCCTGGCTCACTTTTAGGAGAATATTTATTTTGGATTTAGGAGTCGTGTGATTAATTTAGGATGATCAAATATAAAGACTCTTAATTGTACCTACAAAGCCCCTGTCCCCAAATCGTCACACTCACAAGTTTGCAGGGGTTAAGGTATGGGCATATATTTTGGGAGGCAGCAGTTATATACCGCCAACTTTCATGGCATGGGTCATTGTTATTAACCAGTGGGGTCACGACGGTTAGACCACCTGTCCTGGATCGCACAGCTAGTTCATCTCAGCCCACATGAACCTGGGTGGCCCGTGTGCCTAATCATCAAGCTGTATATTCTCCCAAGATGACTTTGAGCCGTCCGATGAAGTAGTCCGAGTCCCACAGCCACAAAGATAGGATACACACATCAAAAAGGCTTCTGTGCCCTTCCCAAGGCAGATCTGCTCCCTTTTCAAAGTTTTCAATTTTTTTCAGACGGAGTCTCATGTAGCTGAGGTTGGCCTCACTTTCCCCTAGCATGCATAGTGGTCTGTGGTTGAAGAAAACCCACCATGTTAAAGATGATCCTGAATTTGCAAACGTAGCATCCTGCCGAATGTGAGCATTATTCCAGAGCAGAGGGCTTCCTTGTGATGGGTGGATCTGGCTCTTAGCATCACAGATGGGCAGCCATGGAGTTAATCCAGCAGTAGGGGAGGGGAGTCAGGGACACATGCCCTTCCTTTTACCCTTGTGGTCTCTCCTTTCCTGCTTAACCAGGGTAAGCTTCTAGCAGATTTAGCCAAACGCTTGGGCCTCCATTATGTGGTCTACAGTGGCCTGGAGAACATCAGGAAGCTGACAGCTGGGAAGCTGTCAGCAGGACACTTTGATGGCAAAGGGGAAGTGGAGGAATATTTCCGAGACATCGGTGTTCCCATGACCAGTGTGCGGCTGCCTTGCTATTTCGAGAACCTCCTTTCCTATTTTCTGCCCCAGAAAGCTGCAGATGGAAAGAGCTACTTGTTGGGTAAGTGCCTTAACCCCCAACATAGTGAAACAGTTTTCAGCATATGAACTAACAGCTGTGGCCAAGAAAAGTAGGATTGTCATCAGATCAGTCTGGTCTAAGCCCAGGCTCCTTGGCATTAGGCTTGACACTGGGCATGTCATCTATTTTGGGTAGACCTAGACTTTATGTGCAGTGAAATGGGTTTAACACTGGTCTCTCGGCGTAATGAGAAAACCAGCCAGAGTTCTTGCTGTTCTCAGAACAGGAAGCAGAATATGGAGATGGTGACTGCTGTCCAGTTGTAAACAAACTGGCTGTCCTGACCCAGCTTGGAGGGAACCTCAGCCAGCTAGTGTTCTGTTGGCCACTCTTTGCCCACTGTGAATATCACCTTCTCTGAGGATACAGGTGTTGGCATGGACTTTGGGAGTCCTACCTACCCAGGGAACAACAGAGCCCTGGCAAAGACTTGGTTTGCAGAACCTGAGTACTGCTGGCACCATACAAAGATAAAGACTAACAGATATGTGTGGCTGCCCAGAGGACTGGCTGCTGGGAAAGCCAGCTGAAGCGCCATCCCTGAGGAACTCTGTTCCTGCTGTCACACTTACATGTTCTCATAGATTTGCCCATGGGCGATGTCCCCATGGATGGAATGGCTGTGAGTGACCTGGGCCCCGTGGTGCTCAGCTTGCTGAAGAAGCCAGGAGAGTATGTGGGGCAGAACATTGGGCTTAGTACCTGCAGGCACACCGCAGAGGAGTACGCCGCTTTGCTCAGCAGGCACACCGGCAAAGCTGTACACCATGCCAAGGTGGGTTCCTCCCTCCCCGGAGCTGTGGCACCCCAGCTCTTGCAAGATGCTAACTTCCCAAACGGTTATTTTTTTGTTGTTTGTTCTTTTGTTTTGTTTTTGTTTTGAAACAGGGTCTCACTCTGTAGACCAGGCTGGCCTTGAACTCAGAGATGCACCTGAGTTCTGGGATTAAAGGTGTGAGCCACTATACCTGTGGGTCTCGACCCCTTGAGGATTCATAGCAGTAACAATGAAAATAATCTTAATGAACCAGGCACAGTGGCCCATGCCTGTAATCCCTGTACTCAGGGAGACAGGCAGTCGGATCTCTCTGAGTTCAAGGCCAGCTTGGTCTACAAAGCAAAGCAAGTCCAGGACAGGCAAAGATACACAGAGAAACCCGGTCTCAAAAAATTAAAAAAAAAAAAAAAAAAAAAAAGGAAAAGAAAATAATCTTATGGTTGTTGGTCACCCTAAGTAACTGTATTAAAGGATCACAGTATTTACAAGGCTGAGAACCATTAATCTAGAGCTTTCTACCCTTCAAAGCAAGGTTTAAGTGTAAGCTCATGGACACAATTAATGTCCTACTGTTCCTGGGAGCTTACATGTCAGAGTAAGTTTTGACCAAAGGGACAGACATTTCCAAGAATGGTCAGTCGAGGTCCAGTTAAGGAGGGCTGAAATCTCAGGGTCTGTCAAGCTCCTAAGCAGGGTGTGTACTGAAGCAAGAACTGCAAAGATAGATTTGCCCCTTATATCTCCTGTCCTCTCTGTTGACCCTCAAGATTCCTGTCCAGGCCACTGGGTACACCGTTTTTGATGTTTCTCCTTGCTGTTACGAATCTAAAGCCTGTTCATTAAAGACATTCTGGGAGAGCTGGGCAGATTTCTGTGAGTTCGAGGCCAGCCTGGTCTACAAAGTGAGTCTAGGACAGACAAAGCTACCCAGAAAACAACCAAAAAAAAAAAAAAAAAAAAAAGAATTCTGGAAAATACCCACAAAACTCCCCCACAGACCCAAGCAGAACACCAAGGGGAAGTGGGGTCTGGGGAGCAGATCCAGGGCTTCTGGCTTCAGAACCTGGTTCCAGCCCTTAAGGCTAGCATGGGAGCTTGGGCACATTCAATGACTTTGTTGTTTGTTATTTTGAGACAGGGTTTCTCTCTGTAGCCTTCGCTGTGCTGAACTTGCTCTGTAGACCAGGCTGGCCTCAAACTCACCTGCCTCTGCCTCCCCGAGTGCTGGGCCTACAGGTGTACACCACTGTACTGTGCCTGGCATCAGTGACCCTTGTTTTTCCTGTAAACAGGTGTATTAATAGTATCTACTTTCAAGTATTGCTGTAAGAAATAAATATGATAATGAACAGAACTTCCTTAAAAAAAATTTTTTTTTCCAAGACAGGGTTTTTCTGTGTAGTTCTGGCTGTCCTGGAACCCGATCTGTAGATGAGGCTGGCCTCGAACTCAAGAGATCCACCTGCCTCTACCTCTGAAGTGTTGAGATTAAAGGTGTGTGCCACCACCACCTGGCCCTTTTTAAATTTTATGTGTATAGGTATTTTGCCTGTGTGTACATCTGTGTGCCACTTGGATGTCTGGTGCTTGTGGAGGCCCGAAGAGGGCACTGGTTCCTCTGGAAATCAAGTGTGAGCCACTATGTAGGTGTTAGGATTGAATCCTGGCCCTTTGGAAGAGCAGCCAGTGCTCTTAACACTGAGCCATCTCTCCAGCCCCAAGCTTTTTTAGTATAATGCTTAGTGCCTTAAAAAATGTGCATTTGAAGCTACGAGTCATACACCTTTAATTCCAGCACTCCAGAGGCAGAGGCAGGCAAATCTCTGAGTTCAAGGCCAGCCTGGTCTACAGAAAGAGTTCCAGAACAACCAGGCCTACACAGAGAAAGCTGCCAGGGACGGGGGTGGCTATAATTAAAATTAGTTCATTAAAGTGCGCTAGGTGGCCATGTGGCTTTAAAGAGGTGGGACTAATCCAGGACTGTGGAGGATCTGAAAAGCACAGGAGTCCAGGTTGGGTTTGGGAGAAAAAAAGAATAGTTTTGGCTCATTCAAAAGGAAGTGATAGTGCTGATCTCAGCTCTGAAAGGCAGTGATGGCTTTTTATCTCATGACCTTGAAAGAAGTCTTTAAACTAATGGGTGTCAGGTAGCCTGTGAGGAGCCATAGTTTCCATGCTTCTGGCTTCCTTGTTAGTGTTCACAGGGGCTCACAGGACCCGAGGTGGTGACTGCAGGGCCAAAGCACTGTTGGGTGACACCTAGTCCACCCTGGTTTCCCAGAACTCGGGGGAAGCTAAGGCTGCCAGGCATCACCACGGCTGTGGAGGAGGCAGACATGGTGGGTTCTGTGCTTCCAGACAACTCCTGAAGAATATGAGAAGCTTGGCTTCGTGGGGGCCCGAGACTTGGCCAACATGTTCCGCTTCTATGCCCTGAAACCTGACCGGAACATTGATCTGACCCTGCGACTCAACCCCAAGGCCCAGACTTTGGACCAGTGGCTGGAGCAGCACAAAGGGGACTTTGCACAGCTGTGACCTTGAGGCACTCTTTGGGGTATGAGAAACTCGGCCATCCTTTTTTGTGTACAGTTTTGTTTTTGTCCCTTTCCCCCCTAAATTAAAACCATTGTTCAGAAATGGTTTCTCTAAAGAAAAGGCCTCTGATTGTGGACAGTGAGTTAGTGTGGCAGCTACATGAAAGTAGGCCCTGATAGCACAGAAATGCCAGTAGGAGGCACCAAGGAGGTACGAGGGCTCAGCTGGATGTAACAAGTAATGGAGTACTTATTCCACCCTGAGCCCTGAGAAGAGTCTGAGCACTGTGCCAGCATGGTCCACAGGGACACAGCCAGCCAGGCTGGGCCACACGCACCTGTGGTTCATTCTGAATTGAGGACAGAAGATTAAAATAAGAGATGACCAGGTCCCTTGTCTTTTTTCTCTCTTCACCAGGACTCTGGACAGGTGTTACCAAGCTAGAAATAACCTTCAAAACAGGTTGGGGGGTGGGGGAAGGTGAGGTAAGAGAGATGACTCAGTCAAGTGCTTACTGTGCAAACATGAGGCCCTGAGTTTGGAGATCTAGCAGATGTGAACCTGTAACCCCAGAGCCGGGCATGGGGAAGCCAGAACATCTCTGGCGCTCTCTGGCTGGCTAGTCTCACTTCAACCAGTGAGCTCCAGCTCCAGTGAGAGCCTGGTCTCAGAAAATAAGGTGGAGCATTAAAGACATCCAACATCAATTTCTGGCCTTCATACTCACACATGCATATTACCTGCACACATGCGCACACCCACACAAAAAACATGTACACAAAAAACATACACACCAATACAAAAAGAACAAATAAAAGAGCCCTGGCCACTGTGGGGGTGAGTTAATGTTGCCTGTGGCTAAGCCCACCACTAGAGGTGAGCTTACCTTTTATTTGTCTGTTTGCTTTTTCTATTTGGAGACAGGGTTTCTCTGTGTCGCTTTGGCTGTCCTGGACTTGCTTTTTAGACCAGGCTAGCCAGCAATCTGCCTGCCTCTGCCTCTGTGAGTGTTAGGATTAAAGGTGTGCACCACTGTGTCCAGCTGGGTCAGCTTACCTTTAATCCTTTTAGAGGGAGCAACAAGGGCCCAGAAGACCCAAGTCACTTGCTGCGATTTCATGGCAGGTCTGTGAATCTGCACCTGTGTACGGGCTTGTCCGATCACTAGTACGCTAACTTTCTACTATCCTTCCCTGACATCAGACTCCTCTAGCGGGAAAAGGAGCAGTGGTCCCATCAAAGTCTACTGTCGACTCAAGTGAGGCATCTCCTTGACAACTTACTGAAATTCATTCTATTGTCGACTCTTATCGGAGGCATCTCCTTGACAACTTACTGTGCCATATCCAGAACATGGGATAAACAGAGAAGTTATGCTGTTTGCCTGGCCTTGAACTTGGATCCACCTGCCTCTGCCTCTACTTCCGGAGTGCTGAGAATAAAGGTTTATGCCACTACTGCCTAGCTGAGAAACTTATTTAGTAGGAAGGACACACACACTCACCAAAAACAAACTAACAACAAAACAACCAACCTGCTAAAGACCTCAAGCTGCAAAGAACATAAGGAAATAAACAGGTAGTTGGGGAGTCAGGGGTTAGGATAGTGTATAAAATTAAGAGGTAAAATTGAACATGAATACATAAGGCCCTAAGTTTCATCCTTACCACCGAAAAAAAAAAAAGAAAAGAAAAATTGAGGGAAGAGCCTCATCACTGAGGACAGGATTGGCCTTGGGAGGTAGTAGCGACGCTGAGGTCTGTGGGGAAGGGCAGAAGCCATCACAGCAGAGTAGAAGGGAAAAAAGAGTAACAAGTGGGGGCTTCTGATCTGGCTGGGTCAGGAGAACACAACAGTTTAAATGTCAGCATCACCTAATCCTGGAAAAGCCTGCCAAAAGCAAGGTCCAGAGTGGACACGCAGCACCTGCCAGCTCCTCAGCATGTGGCTGCCCCTCCCCTGGTGTCTACCTATGTGCTGCCCACCTGCTAGGCTGTAGTGAAGACATGGTCAACTCACTTGCGCAAAACAGTGTGGTAGCACCTCAGGTTACCCTACATGTGGTCTGCTACACCAAGCTGAAATCCTGCTAACCCCATGCCCTTCAGGCTAGTTTGCATTCCCCTAAATGGTAACCTGCGTGACAGGGCACAGGAGGAGCACCCAAGTTGCACATGAAGTTAGTGGAAAACCACATAGAGTGCTCTCCATGTTGTTTGTTCTGTGTGCCACAAACTATCTGTACTGAACACAAAACACCTTGTGTTGCAAACCATTTCACCAAAAGAAGACAATAACATAACTTCATTTTCCCATCTCCTACCACAGTTCAATGGTAAGGCATAGGCTCTTCCTCTACCCTGGGTACTTGACATCAAGTTAGCCTCTGTGACAGCTGCAAACCTTGGGCTGTGTGCATGCCTTTAATCCTAGTACTCAGGGAGGCAGAGGCAGGCAGATCTCTGTGAGTTCAAGGCCACCCTGGTCTGCAAAGCCCTCCCTTGAAAAAACAAAGGGGTAGCAGGGGAAGATGCTGAGGAACCAAGCTAGTACCACACACAAGGGACAACCAGTTCCCCCAGGGTTTCCTATAACCCAGGATGGCCTCAAACTCACTGTTACTGAGGCTGCCTTCAATTCTTACTTCCATCTCCCATATGCTGCTCCTGCATTTTGTTTTTCTTTCATCCTTTTTTTTTTTTTTTCTGGGGGGAGCCAAGACAGGGTTTCTCTATAACCCTGGCTGTCCTTGAACTCACTCTTGTAGAGCAGGCTGTCCTGGAATTTAGAGATCCACCTGCCTCTGCCTCTGATTGCTGGGATTAAAGGTGCACAGCAGCACACCTGGCTGCTCTAGCACTTCAAGTAGACTATCTTGCACCCCAATTCTATGCAACCAAGAAGTCTAAAAACAAATGCCTCGGGAGCTGTGTGTAGTAATAAAGCCAGCCTAGACCTGGAGATGAGACTTCCTTCTAGAGATGCTGTTTGACCACCCCCATCCACCTGAGAAGAGGCAATAATTATGTTCTAGCCAAAAGACCCACCTCCCTCTTCTCAGCCTCAAGATCCAGCTGACTTTTTCAGGAAGAAGCCTACACCTCCCTGAGAATACTGTCTAGCCCCAGTGCTGCTGCATCCTGGTGTCTAGCGTAGTAGCTGGCCCAGACTGCATGCTCAACGAGACTACGGAGAAAATATTGGTAAGTGTTCAAGTTAGTACAATGTTACTCCAGAATCTTTTTCACTCATCTGTTTTCCCACAGAATCCTTGCTCATCTCAAAAGCCATCAAGACTCTACAGGAAGCCTGGACTAGTTAAAGTACTTAATAAGTACTTTTTGGTTTTTTGAGACAGGGTTTTTCTGTGAAGCCTTGTTTGTCCTTGACTCATTTTGTAGATCAGGCTAGCCTCGAACTCACAAAAATCTGCCTGCCTCTGCCTCCCAGAGTGCTGGGATTACATGTGTGCACCATTGCACTGGGATCCTGTATGAACTTTTAAAGACAGTTTTGGTGTGTAGTCCTGGCTGGACTGAATTTGCTATGTAGACCCGGCTGGCCTCAAGCTCACAGATCTGCCTGACTCCACCTCCAAGTACTGGGGATTAAAGGCGCACCCCACCGCATGCATTTGCTGCTCTTGCAGAGGTCCTTAACTTGGTTGCCAGCACCCACATGGTAATTAACAACCTTTGAAATGTCAGTTCCAGATGACAACATTTTCAGTTTCTGTGGGCACTGCACAGACACCCACACGTGCTAATTGTTTTTTTAAATACAGTATAGGAAAATGCAGCTAAGGGAACATAGCTCAGTAGCAGAACACTTGCCTAGCATGCCTGAGGTCTTGGGTTCAATCCCAGCTACTACCTTTTCAAAAATTTTACAAAGAATATTTTTAGTTATGGTGGACTGTCTGTACTCCTAGTACTTGGGAGATGAAGGTAGAGGGATGAGGAGCAGCAGCCTGGGCTACATAGCAAAATACAGACTGAGAAATAATGAAAGGAAAAGAGAAAAAGAGCATAGTGAGCACATGTACATTTCTCAGCAGGGCTCTCCAGTCAACCAGACTCAAGAGTTTGGTTGCGCAGGAACGCTATCTCGTGGCAAGGGCCTGTTCTGGAAATGGAATAGGGGTCTGGCACTGCCAGGGCACTAGGTCACCTTGATGGCAGGGAGAGAGGTCTCCACCAGCAGATGCCACCAGCTCACTCTCCCGTTGCACTGCTGTGCCACCTGCAAAAGCTAGTTTGAACTCTCAAAGAAGAAATGACCACAGTTTTGGTTTTAAATATCTTTTGTAGTAGATCATCTTATTTACATTGATACAGAATCACTTTACATTCTTAAATCAGACACTAATAAAATGTTCTGCTTTTGTAAATTATAAACAGAGAAGGTGTTATTATTAGCCTGTCTTACACTAGCTCCAGGACCTTGGAACACATGGAAACTGCAACATGCTCCCAGCAGAGGCTGGATAGGAGGCTGCTCTGTGCACAGAGGAGGTGCACTTCCTCCTCTACTTCCACTGCACTACAACCCTGCACTCTCCCTCTTAACATCTGCACAGGACAGGACAATGGACCTTACCACTAAGTCATCTAAAAACACCTTGGAAATCAAGTGTCAGCAGTGGAAGAGAGGAGAGCAACCCCTGGCTGGCAAAGCTCTGGGTCTCCAGAGGCTGAAGTCTGTCCCACATGACCATGGTAACTTTGGTCCAACAGAGCAAGAGCCTCTGCTTCCCTACCCTCACCCCCACACCTGACTAGTACAATCTAACTCAGCTGTCAGGCAACCTGCGATCTAAGCTGAAGTGGATAGAGGGACTGTGTTCTACAAGTATGCCTCCCAGCGCCCTAGCACCCACTTTCCACCTGCTTGGTACCTTCCAAAAAAAAAAAACAAACAAACCTCCAAGGGAAATAACACACACCTCAGCAGAACCGGTCAGGGAGGATGTATCCCAGAACTTCATGAGCTTTGTTGAGAGGGAAATTAATCATCTCAATGCTGTGCAGTTGAAGGCTTCATTTAAGCTGTAAGTTTGGCCTTTAATTCTTTCAGCTCTCTACTACATGTGATTCCAGATTATTTTAGTGCCACAAGAAGAGTCCAGGTGTCCTGCCTGAGCCAGAAGAAGCAAGTCACCTACCAGTGGACAGGGTGTTTCCATCAGCCTGAGGGCCATACGTCACTGCCTAGGGCTGTCCACCATGAACTTGTATGCAGAGAGGTGTGGTCACACAGCTTTGCTGCTGCTAGGTAGTTCAGAGGGCTCTGTAGGCAGGGGCTCAGTGCTGCTGTTCTGGGATCCTCCTGTGTCTGATGCCCCAGCCATGGAGAGGGCCTCTGCTCCTGATCTAGTTTCCAGTTGACCGTTTTCCTGAGTTAAGGAGACAAACAGTTACATTCCATATCACAGAACACATCCCTTCAGGAGAGGCTTTGTTAATCCCTGGAGAATGGCTGTGCTTTAAGGGTCAAGAACCCCAGGACCTGGGGTGAGCGTAAACATCTCCAGGCACAGAAAACAAGTACTGCTCCTCAGCCCCAGACTTGCATGGCACCATGCTGCCTGGGTAGACTATTGTGCTAAAAAGCAGGTGGGAGGTGGAGGAGATCTGAGTTCTAGGCTTGGCTCCGCCACAATTTGCCCTCTGGACTGTGGGCAAGCTGGTTCCACCACAGAGGGACAAAGCCCTTGGCAAATGACATGAGGGTTGTGAGGCAGCTGCAAATTCAGCCTTTTTAGGAAGGAATCTAACTTGAATTCAGAAGAAGGCTGGCCCCTGAGCCTGCCCCACCCTGTGCTGCTCACAGGCTCTGCTCAAAAGACTGAGGATGCCGTGGTTACTACACCTTTGGTGAGGTTACTACAACTCTCCCGACTTCTGGGGAAGGGTAGGGTGGGGTGAGGGCCAATGCTGGTTAAAGTAACCAGAAGAGAGATTAGTTCACACAGGGAAACAGGGAAGGAGGCTCACAGGTTTTCCTACCTCAGCAGGGGTATCAGGAAGTAAACATTTTCTTAAGTTTGGAAAGCAATCCCTCGTCCTCCCCAGCCTCTCGCCTATCCTTGCTTCCTTCGGAGCTATCCTTGGTTCTGCCACCTGGGCACAAACAGCAGAAAAAACCCAGGTCAACAGTGCATACCTTCATGCAGCAGAAGCCAGCCCCACCTACCCATGCCTAGCTGCCCAGGGGCTGGCACTCGAGGAGTAGCTGAGGGCCACTACAGGAACACAGAGGCCACTCTCAGGCTGGCAAGGGTACCTCAGGTATTAGACTGAAGCAAATGGGACACTCAGAGGCTCAGGACATGACAACTCTTCCTGGTGGTCAAAAACTCATGGAAGGTAAACGAAAAAAGGGAGGGAGAATGACCGTCTGTAATCTGAACAGTCACAACACAGGCAACACTACATGTCAGGGCCTCGGGGCCAACCCACACAGCTTATCCTCATCCTTGTGTACTTAAGAGCCCTCATCACACCTGCATGTACACAGAAGCAATGCTGTCAGGTCAACCTCGAATCTCAGAGCCAGCCAGCAAGAAGTAGACCTTAGTTCAAACCCAGCCCAGACTCAGAACCACCCAAGCTACTGGCTACAAGATAAAGCAATGAACCTCAAGAAAAACTCCAATTTCTAAACCCATTGCCCATTTTGTACACATTAACATGTCCAAGCTACTCTCACACAGGATCCTCTGCTGTGCACTTCATCTTGTCTCTCACAATGCCAGTGAGGTGTGTATTATCCCATCTTTGCCATCTTGGAGATAAGGAGGAGAATCAAGAATTCAAAGTTATCCTCCACTATGTCGTCATGGGTTCTGAGCAGGCCTCCACTACACAAGACCCTGACTCAAAAAAACAAAACATATACAGCTTCTAAGCAATTTGTGAGATCAAGTGGGAAAGGCAGTGGCATGTACTTGGCATGTTTTAGAAGTGCCATCAGTGGTAACTTACAGTGCTGGTATCTACTTACAGAAGACATGAAAGCACAATTTTTGCTCTCTTTACCTTAGGGTACTCAAGAGGTACAGGAAGCCCATGGTTTATACATTTGTTGTATTAAAAGAGTCGTTTATGTTACTTAAATCCTTACATATTAGAAAAGGAAATGCTCTGAATTGCAGCAGGGCATAACTGGCCTCTGGACTTCAAGGTAGAAAGTGTGTGCAGAGTGAGCAGTGTGCTTTGCAGGGCCTAGGTTCCAGGCTTTGTGTGACAGCCTAGAGCCCAGGTGTGTCCCCAGGAGCTTTGTTGATAACCCAGAAAAATTTTTAAAGCATTTTTTTTTCTTTCTTTCTTTCTTTTTTTTTATAGACAGGGTTTCTCTGTGTAGCCCTGGCTGTTCTGGAACAAGCTCTGCCAACAAGGCTGGCCTCGAACTCATGGAGATCTACCTGCCTGTGCTTTCTGAGTACTAGGATTAAAGTATGACCCACCACCAACCTGCTGCATTTTTTTTTTTTTTCTTAAATTTGCCTACATGTCTAGTGCCCATGGAGAGGAGCATAAGAAGTCACTGAACTTCCTGGAACTGGAGTTAGAAGTGGTTCTAAGCCTCCAAGTGGATGCTGGGAACCAAATCCAGGCCCTCTGCAAAAGCAGCAATCTCTCTCTGCTGAAACATCTTTCCAGTTCCTGACTGCCCAGATCTTGTCCAGCATTTTGCTCAGAACACCATTCCTTTTCCTTTCTAAGGGAACCCCTCAGCTCTATGAGTATGCCTAGTCAGAGTGAGCTTGTGGCCCTGCTGTTCATGTCGTACCTATATGTTGTATGAACTTTTCCTATGAGTAAACAAATGTCTACTCATCTCGGACAGGGAACCAACAACAAAGCAAGGCACTTCCGGCCACGTCTAGCTCGAAGGAAGCAACGCATTAATTGGCTTACTTGCAGGCATGGGCAAGGGATTACTTAGAGGAATGGCAGTGACCCCCAAACAATCACACTGCAGAAAAGTCCTGTATATGGCTCATGACCGAATACAAAGTCATTATGCATCATGGATTCTCCTTTTCAGTTAACCTTCCAGAGAACACATACTATGGAGAAGAATTATCTACACCTAGCAGGAGGCGCAGGAGGGAGTGAAGGTGAGGGTCTCATGACCCTCTCCCCAACCTGTCTATACAAGGTTATCAAAAAGCCCATTGTTTTTTGTTTGTTTGTTTTTTGTTTTTAAAACCTCAGGCATTCTAGGCAAGTACTTTATCAAATGAGCTATTTTACAAAGTCAAATTTCCAAAGGGATGCAATACTGAAAACAATGACAATAGAGATTAATGAGAAGAAAAATAGTGTCAACATTCTAACATGGCGAAATGCCCATGCCCCCACCTGAGCCCAGTCCTGCAGAATGTAAGCTCTCTGGTGGGCAGGAGAGGAAAACAGTTGTGTGCAGAAAAAAATCTTATAAATTATGAGACCTTGAGGACATGTCAGGAAGAAATTACAGGTTCACAATGAGAATGTGAATAAGAGCAAAGGGAAAAGTATATGTATTATGTACACAAATATTAAATGCCATTTGGTATTTTGGTCAAGCCTTAGAAAGAGTTCCTGTCCTCAACAAGAGCTCAACAAACTTCCAGGAAATTCTGCTGGAATTTCCACTTCCACTACTGACTCTTCCTTCAAAGAACTCCAAATCTTCTCTCCACTCTGAAAAAAAGCTACCCTAGCTCTGAATACTGGCTATGAATTATCTCACACAAACCTAAGGCCATTCCAGATCTGAGAACTCCATCCAGTTTCCCATAAAAACAAAATGATTCAATGAGCTAGAAACATGTGCAGCCTGGGCACAGCCTGTCCTGACCTGTCCCAATCAACAGAGGCCTCACATGAAATACAGATACAGGGGGCCACGGGAAAGCTCCAGCCCAGACGTCAACAGAGCAAGACATCTGAGCTTGGGCAACAACTCTGGACACTGAATCAAGAGACAGTATTTTCACATTGTTGTTACCATTGTTTACTTTGGAATCCTGGTAAGGTGTTTGGGGTCAGGAAGGCACAGATCTGTCTAATTGATCTTCCCCTTAAGCTGTTACAAAGAACTCTTGTAGGGAAATGCCCAAAGTCACAAGGCAAGTGGCAGAACCAAGGCTAGAACTCAGAACCGCAGCTCTGAGACACAGAGCTGCTGCACAGGTGATCCTGTGCTTTCTAAGCACATGCATACAGTGAAAGGGAAAAGCTTCAATGGGATATATGGCTGCACACCCACAGATCCCCTCTTCCAATGACAGTTGTTCGGCGCCTATGAAAACTCAAGCAGAAATCAAACATGCTATTTTGAAATGTCTGTAAACTTCAGTAACTCGGAGATCCCTCATGCCACCACCTTTCTCCCAGGCTCCTTACCAGTGTGTGTGTGGGTGACACCATTCACCGTGCCCTCCACGTCAGTCTCATCCTCAGCATAGCTCAGGATCAGGTTCTGCTGCCTGCTGGTTAGCCTCCTGTGGGCCAAGAATAGTTAGTGGCCAAGTGCTTTCTCCAGGCAGCTTTTGAAAGGACACAATGCAGCTTAGTCTTTGACTAAGCACACACTGAGGAACAAAGGGCAATATCAAAGCTTTGGAAGGGCTCTAGCAGGCCTGAACATGGCAAACATGGATGGCTCTGGCAGGCCTTATTCTTCTCTCCCATTCCCTCTGCCTTGCTAAAAACCATTAGATCACATTCCTAAAGCCAGCCACCAAGCTCTATTTCCTTCTTTGGCCACTTCCTACTCCTGAGGCTGACTACCAAGGTCCAGCTAACAAAGCATAAAGTCCAGCAATCAAAAGCCCCCTTTGGCTCACCTAATTAACATGCTCAATTAAGATTAAACACCTCATCTGAACACAGGCTTTCCCCTTTTACCATTTGCCTATGAGCCACACCTGTTTCCTCTCTATGCTTTCTCCCTCACCCTTGTTCCTTTCCCCTTCTCTCAGTCCTCTATTTCCTATCTTTGTCTCTTATTCCTTGCCCTATGTCCCTCTGGGACAAAGAAATATCCTTTGTGCTGAGAACTTGGTCTTGGGGTGTCTTGTGCTGACAGCAGTCCTTTCAGCTTTTCTCTAAAACCCTGAGTTGTTTAAACTGTCATTACTGCTATGCCAGATATAGGGGTTGGAGTGTACATGTTACATGTGTGTTTGTGAAGCAGCAGGTAAGAAACTAATCTCACAAAAGAGAAAAGAGCTGAACCTGGCTTCCCAGGAGAAGGAGCAGGGCACTCCACAGCTGAGTGCCCCAGCATTCTGCCCAGAGCACATTAGGAATTTAGCATCTCCTATGTGTCATTCATTTTGTACTTCCATAGCTCAGTGAAGCCAAAAAGCTATATCCAATGCTCAGATGGGAAACACAGGCCAGACAACATTGACTCCAAGAAAGAAAAAAATTTGCTCAAGCCTAGAGCTGGAAGGTCAGCTGAACTGCTGGATGCTGGGCTTAGCAAGCCAAAGGCTCAAAGGCTGCTGCGACTGTGTATGTGGGGTCTGATAGTCTTGGCTGTAGTCTTAGGGAACACTTACTTTGGAACTCTGATCTTGATGTGAATGTAGTGGTCACCATAGCCATAGCTATTAATCCGGGGGATGCCTTTCCCAGTCAAGCGGATCTTCTGGTCTGTCTGAATCCCAGCAGGGATCTATTGAGAAAGGAATGTGCTTATGTTCCCTGGTAGCCATTGTCCAAAAATAAACATTTTACTACACAGAGACAATCTTGAAAGGTGTCTTCAAAAAAGGACTTGCACTGGGTATGCAGAACAAGCTAGCCACATAGTTGTGGGACAGTTGAGCCCATGAAATAGGTGTGAGGGGTAAAGAAAAAGACTCAGAAGCAGAAAGTTGATGGCAGGTATGAGACTAAACTTGCTCCATTACTCGCAAACACTGGAAAGGATGGACCCTGGAGAAGCGGATACTCCAGGTAGTCTCCAGGGGGAGGTGGGAGTATTTGTCCACAGTGACCACTGCCACAGCCTAAGTCTCCATACCCAGCCCTGGAGAAGGCTGGAGACAAACACAGAGGTATAGAAGTGGCACAGGGAGTGTCCACTTCAGCTGCAATTAAAATTAGAGATAGTTGCCTGAGATTTCTGAGTTCCAGGCCAGTCTGGTTTATATAGTGAGTTACAGGACAGCCAGGGCTACACAGAAAAACTCTGTCTCAAAAATACCACAACAAAAATAAATAAACAAACAAACAAATAAATAAATAAAACCACATCAAAACTCAAAAATCAAACAAACAAACAAAAAATCCCAAAGAAGCAAACAAAATCCCCAAAACTTGAAGTGGTCAACTGAGTAAGACACCACAAGTGTCTTCACACCACAAGTTCCAGGTGGGAACATGAACAAAGTGTACCTACTGCATCACGTATGAGCCTGTTCCTGGGACCCTGACCTGTAGAAGAGGAGACCTAGACAAGGAACTATTGCCAACAGTTAAACAGAAACACCTGGAGTTGTAATTATTTCTCAAGGAACAGCCTAAAGCTCCTAGTGTCACAGGTGCCAATGTCTCTTCTACTCTCAGAATTCCTGACAGGCTGGACACTCAGGTTTAGACCACCTCATCTATTTCCCATTAAAAAAAAAAAAAATTAACTGGCCATGGTGGCACATGCATGTGACACAAGGAAGGGTGAGGCAACTGGAGTACTAGTTCAAGATCAGCTGAACATAATAAGCATTGGTCTCAAAAGAAGGAAAGAAAAGACCAAACAGGTGCCAGGATAGCAAAGACAGTTGCCCTCATGTCCTCTTACCGTCACACTGATTGTCTCATACAGGCCCTGGGCTTTGGCAGTACCCCCAAGAATAGCTTGAGCTATTGAAATAAAGAGGTCAGAGTGGATGTCTGCGCCGTCCCTCCGGAACACAGGACTTTTCTGCACCTAAGCCAAAGAGAAGACAAGTGTAACTACCATGGAAGTGCTGCTTGCGGGCAATGTCCAGACCACCTCGGCTTACATCACAATTACAAAAGGAAGGAAGAATGCAATTTGGCTTTTACATTTTTCCCCCCAAATCTTACCTAATGAGAAAGGTTACTAAATATAGACAAATACACTTACAAAGACAGAAATGATTTACAAGGCTAGGGAAGTGCCTGCCACAAAGGATGACGATCCACAGCACTCATGTAAAAAGTGGGCATGGTACTCTGCTAAGAAGAGAGAGAGCGCACGCGTGCATGTGTGTATGCAGTGAATCTCTTGAGCTCACTGGCCAGAAGCCTAGGTAAATCAGTGAGCTCTAGGTTCAACAAGAAACTATCTAAAAAAATAAGGGGAAGAGGAACCAAAAAAGGCACCAAACATCACCCTTTGTCCTCTACACACACACACACACACACACACACACACACACACACATACACACACACACATCTTTCAGATGGTCACTTAACACAAGCTACCTCCAGGACAAACTGCCAGCTCTGGAATTTATTTAACTTAGAAATACTACTTTTCATATCACAAAGATAGTCTCTGCCCTTGATTTCTTCTGCCCTTTTTTTTCCCCCTTTATTATTAGATAAAAGAGTAGCTGAACTCTCTACCAAATTCTTATAAGCTGGCGTCCAGCTTCTGCCTTTATGTGGTTTTAAATTATTTAATTTGCAGTGCTGGGATAGAACACAGGGCCTTGTACAGACCAGGCACAACACCAAGGCCTACCCCGCACCTACCTTCCTTCCTCTTTGATTCCTCATCTAGAGGGATCCGCCCCTCACACTATTTCTATGCACTGCCCTGGCTCTGGTTTCTCACTGCATCATTCAGGTAGACTACAAATTCACTTATGGAAACCGACTGCCTCAGCTTTGCACATAGTGGGAAAACAGTCAAGTACCACTATACCCAGTTTTCTGTTGGTTATTTTTATTACTGGGGGGGGGGGTGTTTTGAGACAGGGGCTCATTAAATCCAAATTATTAAGGTTGCAAGCTCATTAAGGCTGCAAATTCTTTGTGGGGCTCAGGATGACCTTGAAATTCTGGTCCTCCAGTCTCCACCTCCCAAGTGCTAGGATTACAGGTAAGCACCAGTCATGCAAGGCACTTTACCTCCATCCCAAGTCTTACTTCTTGTTTTTGTTTTCAGTCTTGCTTTTAAAGACAGAGTTTTGTTGTAGAACCCAGGCTGTCCTTGAACTCACGCTCTTTCTGCCTCCACATCCCATGTGCTAGAATTATAGGCATGTGCCACTCACTATACCTAGTACTTGGTTCAAGTAATAAACTGCCTCACACAAAGAAAAAGAGAAAGTATATACAGCAAACAGGGCACCCACAACCCAATTGTAAACATGGTGGACCAGGTGGTACACACCTGCAACACCAATATTCTGGAGGCTAAGGCAGGACCACTGTGAGTTCCAGGGCAGCCTTTGCAACACAGGGAGATCCTCGCTAAAAAAGGGGAAAGAAAATCACAAACAGAACTTTCTTTATGCTTCTCAGTTAATCACTACCCTGAATTTAACATTTATCAAACCCTACCAGGATGCCTTTACTTTTGCTTTGTCTTTCTACATCCCTCAACAACACACACTTGATGGCTCTCACATGCTTGGCACCTCTCTGAGATAGTCTCCTCACATCACAGCTGGACAATCTGCCTTCTCTCCCCTGTCTTAGTGAAGCGGCGTCTCCTGCTCCCCTGTGGCTCCTTCCTTCTGATATGTCGACAACATCCGAATACATAGCAGTTTGATGAGCATTCTTTTTTGACAAACAGCAGGTTTGTCACCACTGTCTTGCTATTATATACCCCCTGACCCAAAGCATTCTACACTTGCATGGCTTTTTCTCAGATACACACCTAGGAGTGTAAGTCTTTCCGTTACCAGAGAAAACCATTTGGGGCTAGGAGGTGCAAGTACTTTGCTAGCATGCAGGAAGCGGAGTGTTCAATTTCTGGCATTGCTAAATAAACAAATAAAACTATACCATTATAATTTGTTTTCTCTGGCTGAGCATGGTGGTGCACACCTTTAATCCCAGCACTTGGGAGGTAGAGGTAGGCAGATCTCTGGGTTCAAGGCCAACCTGGTCTACACAAGACTACACAGAGAAACCCTGTCTCAAAATAAAAAAATAAATAAATATATTAATTAATTAATTAATTAATTAATTAATTAATTAAAATAAAAAATGAAAAATATTTTGCTGTCTGATCAACAATTTATACAGGAACAACACCACCACACAAGGGTTTGTGAGCTACTTTTTTGTTTCCTTTTTTTTTTTTTTTTTTCAAGACTGAGCTTCGGTAGCCTTGGCTACCCTGGAACTTGCTCTGTAGACTAGGCTTGTCTGGAATTCACAGAGATCCACCTGCCTCTGCCTCCAGAGTCCTGGAATTAGAGGAGTACACCACCACACTGGCTACATTTCTTCTAACTTGGCAGTGTTATGAGAAAGCTTTCTTCTCCGCATGTAGGCATGCGGGCAATGAATAATCATGCCCAGGCAGCCTTTCTTTAACTGGGAGCAGTAACACATATGCCCTTACTTTCTACAATGAGTGATCTCAGCTGTACCCACTGCAAGAGAAAAAGGACCCAAAATAGGCTGACAGGCAAGCACCTACCCTGAACGTGACAAAAATTTCTCGTTTTCCCACAGGCATCCTTACAGTCTGACCATCTTGAATTCCTAGAAGAACAAAATTTCCAAACAGCAGTTATGGTAGGGTCTCCCACTGCAACTTCTACCCAGGAAAAACCACTTGACCAGGTTTCTGGCTGCTTCTTCTTTCTTTGTTTCTTTTTCTTTTGAGACAAGGTTTAGCCCTGGCTGTCCTGGACTTGCTTTGTAGAGCAGGCTGGCCTCGAACTCAACAGAGATCCACCTGTCTCTGCCTCCTGAGGGCTGGTATTAAAGGTGTGCACCACTACTGCCCAGCAGGTTTCTTCTTTTATTTTTGAAATGAAGGTCTCACCATGGGCCTTAGGCTGACCACAAACTTGTGCTCCTCCTGCCTTAGCCTCCTGAGTACTGGGATAGACAGGTGTCACCACATAACTAGTTTGTTGCCTGTTATTGTTGGTCCTCACTGCATGAAGACAGAAGTCTGGGACAGGAGCTGTGGCATCCCAAGGTGGGAGCAGAGTGGACACACTGTGAAGGTGACTGGTACAAGGAAAGCTCTAAGAGAGTCTACTTCTTCCTCCAACCAGGGAATCCAGGGCCTTATGTCTAGCTCTGCAATCACGCAAACAAGGTACAACAGTGCTGGCCCATTTTCTGGGCAATGGCCCACCTGCAGGCACAGGGATTGTCACTCGTTTCTTCTGCTTGGCTTGTCCTGCTCCTCTGCAGACCACACAAGGAGTTGTGATGATGGTGCCCCGGCCACCACATCTCCGACATGTAGAACGCATCACAAAAGGCCCCGTATTGATAGTTTCCTGACGAAAGAAAAATGCTACGTATACAGGTACATGGTTTTATCAAAAAATATTTTATGAATAGTTTATATCCAGGTGAAGTAGCACAGGTATATTATCCCAACATATAGGGGGTAGAGATAAGAGATCAGGAGTTCAAGGCCACACTTAGCTACATAGTGAGTCTGAGGCCAGTCTGGGTTACATGAGACTCTGAACTTTTTTTTTACATGAAGGAAGAGGGATGACATCTCATGTGGCCAAGGCTGGACTCAAACTCTCTGTATAGTAGAGAATAAACTTGAACTTCTGATGTTTCCGACTCTACCTACCAAGTGCTGGGAGTACAGGTATATACAACGACACCCAGCTCAGAAGTCAAGTTTTTTTTGTTTTGTTTTTCAAGACAGGATTTTGTGTTTAACATCACGGTCTGCCCTGGAACTTGCTTTGTAGACCAGGCTGACCTTGATCTCACAGAGATCCACCTGCCTCTGCCTCTGGGAATAAAGGTATGTGTAGCTTGAAGTAAGATTTTTAAGTAAATATATATATATATATCATTATGATTGGCTTTTTCTGCCCCCCCCATATATGTGTGTGTGTATGTGCTGAGGATGGAATTTAAGGCTTTCATTGGGCATGATGACTCACACTTGTTTGCACAGCACAAACAAGGCTAACAAATGAAGATTGCCTCATGTTCAGTCAGCCTGGAGCATATGAGTTCCAAGCCAGCTTAGATTAGAGTTAAACTCTATCTCAAACAAAACAAAGTATGCATTAAGGGCTTTGAACATGCTAAGAACATGTTCACCAATTAAGACCAGCCCCAATAATGAAATGCCTGTATGTGGTACAGAAGAACAATTCTGAATGTGAAGCTACTTATCTACAGAGCAAATTCCTGACCAGCCAGAACTACACATTGAGACCCTGTCTCAATAAATAAAATAAAAATAAATATATAAAAAGGACTGGAGAGATGGCCAGCAGGAAAAGTCACTTGCCACCAAGCCTGATGACTTGAATTCAATCCCTGGGTCTCATATGATGGAAGAGAATGGAGTCCCACAAATTTTTCTTTGAATGCCACATGTGGGCATGGCACACATGCACATATAAGAAATAAATAAATAAATGTAATAATAAAAAAGATGTTTAAGAATTATAACCAGGCATGATGACACATACTTATAATTCCAACCCTTAAAAGCATGAGACTAGACAGTGCTCGGCCTGGGTTAAAGAGTGAGACCCTGTCCTTCCTCTAATCCCACTCCCTAAAAGAGCCGGGGTGGAACACTAACACTTGGAAGATAGAGAGAAGAGAATTACAGACAGGTTCAAGAGCACCCTCAACCACTTAGCTTAAGGCCAGCCCATTGCAGTGATACGGGACACAGCCCAAGCCCCAGAAATAGCTAAGTAAAGTATCTCCTGGAACAGAGAAAAGGAATGGTGAGAGCAGCTGGGGAGGTAGGTAACAGAGGGAAACACCGACAGGAGGAGTAGAGGTAGGACCCAAAGTACCTTACCATGCCTGAGCCGCCACAGTAGTGGCAGTGCTGCACTTTGGTTCCAGGCTCATTGCCCTTGCCGCTACAGCGCTCACACGTATCCAGGATGTTCACAGTGAACTCTTTGTTGACTCCCTTGGCAGCTTGATTGAATGTCAGTTCCATGATGTACTGAAAGAGTGAGGCACGGCCTGTCACTTAGCTTTACAATGACTACAGCAGTGCTGTTTCAGGACAGGAGGGCACTGGACAGTACTGTAGTTACTCCATTACCAAACACATATACATGTATACTTTGTCAGGGAAGAATGGGTGTAATCTAGCTTTACACATACAGAGTTTAAGATCTATTAAGTAAAAATTACAGCTTTTAAGATATATTAAGTAAAAAGTGGCTTGAACTTAAGCTATGAACAATACACCACTTGCTTTGGTCTAAATCTAGAATGTCTCCCAAGGACCTAAAACTTGGTTCCTAACTTAGTGCTACTGGGAGGTAGTGCGACCTTGAGGAGGTAGAATCTGGTGGGAGATTTTAGATAAGTGGGGATGTGTCCTCAAAGAAAATTTAGGGCTACCAGTCTGCCCTCCTTTCTTTGATAGCCAGGATCAGATAAACAGCTTTGATATACCACACTCTCCACCATTATATACTGCCTAACCACAGGCCTTGAAAAGATGGGATCAACAGTCCATTCACTAAAAACTCTCAAGTCACAGCCAAAAGAAACATTTCCATTTTATTTTTTATTTTATGTTTTGTCTGCATGTATATGCACCCACATGTGCCTGGTCCCAAGAACAAGAGAAGAGGGAGTCAGATCCACTGGAACTGGAATTACAGGCAGTTGTCCACTACCATAAGGGTGCTAGGAACCAAACTTGTGTCCTATGTAAGAGCAGCACACTGGGGCTGGAGAGATGGCTCAGAGGTTAAGAGCACCGGCTGTTCTTCCAAAGGTCCTGAGTTCAATTCCCAGAAACCACATGGTGGCTCACAACCATCTACAGTGAGACCTTGTGTGTAGGCACTCATGTAGGCAGAATGCTGTATAAAAGATAAATTTAAAAAAAAAAAAAAAAAAAGAGCAACACACACGCGTATCCACTGAGCCCTCTCTCTCCAGCCCCACTTTCCACTTTTTGAGTTGTCTCAGGTATTTTCTTACAGTAACAGAAAGCAAACTAAAACAATGCTTGGTAACTGAGATGATGAAACATTTCTCTACCTTCCTCAACGCTGACAATGGCTCCTCAGGACAAATCCATGGAGGAGTCAGCAGTGTCCCCCTGCTGCAGCAAGCTCCTGCACAATAACAGAGCACCCTCTAGATCAGCGGTTCTCAACCTTCCTAATGCTGCCTCATGTTTTGGCAACCCTCAATCACAAAATTATTATTATTTTTTAATCATTATTATTTATACAGTATTTTGTCTGCATGTACACCAGCACGCCAAAAGAGGACACCAGATTTCATTACAAATGGTTGTGAGCCGCCATGTGGGTTGCTGGGAATTGAACTCAAGACCTCTGGAAGAGCAGCCGGTGCTCTTAACCTCTGAGCTATCTCTCCAGCCCCACACAAAATTATTTTGTTGCTACTTCATTACTGTAATTTTGCTATTATTATAAATCTTAATGTAAAGTATCTGGTGTATAAAATATATCTCATATTCGATCCCCAATGAGGTCACAACCCAAAGGTTGAGAACTGTTGCTCTAGATGAATCACTCTGCTACGGTTTCTGAGGCATTTGTGAGCGCTGCCTGATTAAGCAGCTTTTAATAATGACATCACAATGGACAGGCTCATCACTACCTAAGGAATTTTTCAAATGCTCCTAGCTTTCTGCCAAATGGCTGCCTCTGAATCACTCCATTGCCTTTCTGAGAAACAAGAAACTAAAAAAACATCGTTGCACTTAAACTTAAAAGTTGATCCTTCGAAGCTGGACGAGGTGGCGCATGCTTATGATCCCAGCACTCAGGGAGGCAGAGGCAGGTGGATCTCTGTGAGTTCCAAGCCAGCCTGGTCTACAAAGCAAGTCCAGGACAGCCAAGGCTACACAGGGAAACCCTGTCTAAAAAAAAAAAAAAAAAAAAAAAAAAAAAAGTTGATTCTTCAAAATAAGGAATGCTGGTATGACAGCGCATGTCTTTAATCCCAGCACTTAGGAGGCAGAGGCAGGCAGATTTCTGTGAGTTCATGGCCAACCTGGTCTATATAGTGAGTTCTGAAATAGACAGGCTACAATGTGAGATGCCCCTGAAAAATAAATGAATGAATGAATGAATATAAAATAGGACACTTACTTCCTGGGGCTGATCAAACACAGTCTTGAAATCACCAAAAGAAGATGATTTGAACTCCCCAAAGATCTTCCTAAACAGCTCCTCAGGATCAACAGAGGGACCTCCCCTCCAGTAGTTCTGCCCAGAGCTGCTGGCCCCAGGATCAAAGCCAGCAGAGCCGTAAGTGTCATACTGCTTTCTCTTTACTTCATCACTCAACACCTGGGATGAAAATGACAAAGCAGTCAGGCATTTCTGGGTCTTCTGAGGCTTAGGAACACAGACAACAGGCCATGCCAAGTAAGTCTGTCACATTTCCTAAGTACAAAACATTCTAAGAAAGTCAGGCATGGTGGTGAAGGCCTGTAATCCCACCAATCAGAAGGCTAAGGCAGGACAATGAGTTTGAAGCCAGCCTGGACTACACAGTGACACTCTGTTTAAACAAAACACCAAATCACATTAAAGCTCAGTTATAGAGCATTTGTTAAGCATGCATACAGCCTAGGGTTCAGTTCTCAGCACCAGAAAAACAGAAATGTAAACTAGGTCAGCAGTGATGGTGTACACCTTAGCCCAGCACTCAGGAGACAGGGGCAGGCAGATCTCGGAGTTCAAGGACAGAGTGGTCTACAACAGAGCAGGTTCTAGGGCAGCCGAGCTACACGGAGAAACCCTGCCTCAAAAAACCAAAATATAAAAATTAGCAATCAAGCACACCTTTCGTGGTATGGTTAAGTCTGTCAGCTCTACTGATTTAAGGCGTTCTTGGAGAGCTGGTAAAGTGCTGGGCAGTGGTGGCACACACCATTAATCCCAGTACTCAGGAGCAGGCGGCAGGCAGGTCTGAGTTACAGGCCACCCTGGTCTACAGAGTGAGTTCTAGGACAGCCAGGGCTACACAGAGAAACCCTGTCTTGAACCCTTGCCCGCCCCCCAAAGGAGCCAGAGAGGGCACTGAATCCCTTGAAACTGGAGTTATAGATGGTTGTGAATTGCCATGTGGGTGCTGGGAATTGAACCTGGATCTTCAATGCTCTTAACTAATAAGCCATCTCTCTAGCTCCTTGGCAGCTGATCCTATGAGCTACTTCAATAAGTCTTTTCTAATTACATATAGCCTATTAGTTCTACTTCTCTAGAAAGCTCTAGCACAGATTAGCTACAGTTGACAGGGATAAAACCTTCACATTTACTGAATTGTGACTCTATATGTTGCTATCTAATCCCTTGAACGTAGAAACTCTGACATATGCAGAACCCATTCGGGATAGTCAAGCCCAGAGAAATGGTGTGGTGGTTTGAATGAAAATGGCCCCCAGAGGCCCACAGAGAGTGGCACTATTAGGATGTGTGGCCTTGTTGGAGGAAATGTATCACTGGGAATGAGTTTTGGGATTTCAGAAGCCAGGACCAGGGGCTCTCTTCCTGCTGCCTACTGACCCAGATATAGAATGCTCAGCTACTTCTCCAGCACCATGTCTGCCTGTGTGCTACCATGCTTCATGACTGGATAATAATGGACTAAACTACCGAACTATAAACCAGCCTCAATTAGATGTTTTCCTTTATAAGAGTTGCCATGGTCATGGTGTCTCTTCAGAGCAATAGAAACCCTAATTAAGACAAATGGCCATTCTCCAATAACTCTGTAACTGGTCAATGGTTCTTTCACAGATGTATGTTGTTTTTTTTCCCCCTCTATTTCCTATGGTCTACTTTTACAATTGCTACCTTAAGTCATCAAATATGGCCTGACTTAATCAGTCTAATTGGGATTTCCCAAGATCAGCTATTAATATGAATTATCTGAGCAGCTTTATTGATACAGGTAAAACTTATTCTTATTTTGTTTTGTATTAAGGAAAACTATATAGCCTTGGCTAGCCTTAAACTTGAAGAAATTCTCCTACCTCAGCCTCACCAGTGCTAGAATTACATAATGTCATCACTCCTGATCTCTTCATTTTTAAAAACTGCCTCTATTAATTTTGTGTACATGTGTGCCATGGCACTCGGGTAGCGGTCAGAGGACAACAACTCCTGAAAGTTGCTTCTCTGTCCACCATGTGTGTCCTGGGGATTGAACCCAGGTTCTCAGACTTGACAGGAGATACATATATATATACCCACTGAATCATCCTACCTGCCTTGTTTCTTCACTGAAATTCTAAGTTAGCAGAACTAGCATGAGACCTCGGCAGGGACAGAGCATCACACTGGACCATATGTACGGCATGCCAGGTTGTCCTGTGCAGTGGACTCTAACGCATGGACAGAGCTGAATGGCAATGACCATACACACAAGTCACTTTACCTCATATGCTTCTGCCAGCTGGGAAAACTTCTCCTTGGCTTTGGGATCATCCTTATTCGTGTCTGGGTGATACTTCTTGGCAAGCTAAGGGGGAAGAAAGTATAGATATAGATGGTTACTATAACAAAACCCAAATACTTGCCACAATTATGCTTCTCTATATAGCACTCCCTTAAAGATTTAAAGTTTGAAAATAAATCATTCCGAGGTTAGAAGGAGAGCTCAGAGGTTAAAAGCACTGGCTGCTCTTCCGGAGGTCCTGAGTTCAATTCCCAGCAACCACATAGTGGCTCACAAACCATCTATAATGATATCTGGTGCCCTCTTCTGGTGTATAGACACATGTGCAGACAGAATGACATGTATATACAATAAATAAATAAATAAATCTTTTAAAAAAAAGTAACTATTTCCTTCAGAGAGGCACATATTCCTCATCTACCAGAAATCTCTTCCCCAAAACAGACTACTAGGGGCTGGAAAGATGCTCAGCAGTTAAAAGCATTTAATAATCTTGCAGATGACCTGCATTCAGTTCCCAACACCCATACAGCAGCTCACAACCATCTAAAACTCCAGTTCCAGTGTGTTCTATCCCCTCTTCTAAACTCTGACAGCATCATCATGTAAGCACACATGCAAACAAATCAAGTATTAAAAAAAAATCTTAAAAAATAGTCAATTAGTTTTTTAGAATGTGGACACCTTTGTGAAAGCAAATAATAAGACAGCATGTCTGGTACATTGAATTTAAGTAAAAGAGCAAGTAAATAACTTGGTTTCTCTACTACACAATTTTATTTGTTTGTTTTGGTTTTTAGAGACAGGGTTTATGTGGTCTTGTTAGCTGTCCTAGAACTAGTCTATAGACCAGGCTGGCCTATAGATCCCCTCACAGGGATCCATTTGTCTCTGCCTCCTGAGTGCTGGGATTAAAGGCGCCACTGCTAGGCTTTATTTGTTTTTTGAGGCAGGCTGGTCTTGAACTCACAGAGCTCTGTCTACCTCTGCTCTCCAGGACTGGGATAAAAAGGCATGCACCATCACACCTGGCTTTCTGTGTAAGTTTTCTGAGAAATCATTTAATAAACTTGTGACGGTGATTGCTACAAAACACAAAAATGAGTGAAGAAAAAGAAATACGTTTTACCTTTTAATTAATTAATTACTTTCTGTGGCATGGTAAGCGTATGAACAACATGGTGTGCATGTGGAGGTCAGAGGACAACTTTGTGGAGGCAGGTCTCTCCTTCTTACTTAAAACAGCTTTAGAGAATTGAATGCAGAGCACCAGGCTTGTGCGGCAGACACCTTCACCCACTCGGCCATCTTACCCGCCCCTCTCCTCTTTCTTAAAACAGCATTAGCTGATGGTACATTCATTGCACAACAAATGCATCCAAAACTCCATCTTTCTCAGATCATTCCATAGGATTAGCTGCTTGTGACCTGCCTGAGGAAGCTGTACACACACCAAACGCAAGAAGGACCAGACAAGATCAACAGCAGTCTAGGCTGAAGAGATGGCTCAGTGGCTAAGAGCACATACTGCTTTTCCAAAAGACCTGGGTTCAATTCCCAGACATGTCAGCTAGTTCACAGCTGCCTATAACTACAGTCCCAACAGGATCCAATACCTCTGCCCTCTGTGAACATCTGCATTCATGTGCACATGGCCACAAACAGATACATACACACAGTTTTAAAAAGTAAAATAGGGGCTGGAGAGATGGCTCAGTGGTTAAGAGCACTGTCTGCTCTTCTAGAGGACCTGGGTTCAATTCCCAGTCAACCACATGGCAGCTCACAACTGTTTGTAACACCACTTCCAAGGGATCTGACTAATGCAATAAAATAAATTTTAAAATAAATTATAAATAAATAAATAGTAAAATGAACTACATATATATTAAAAAAGATGACCAGCAATCTTTCTATAGTCTTGGCAGTAAATCTGAGACCATCATATACCTGATAATAGGCTTTCTTGATATCTTTCTGGCTGGCATTTCGGGGCACTCCTAATATCTGGTAATAATCATCTTTGTCCAAAGCAGCACTTGTGTGGAAGGAGGCAGTACAAACAAAAGGGAAACTTTTTGTTCCTGGAAATGAAACAAGAAAGTTAGTCAGTCTGGGAACTTGTCCAACAAGAAGAAATTATAAATGACCAGCTATGAAATACCTGTGAAAGAACACAGTTATAGGGCCTGTTGCCTTCTGAGCACACTAGCAGCCAAACTCAATGTACTTCAAGTGAGAGCACAGCTTGGGAATATATAGTTCTGCTTGAACAGAATGCACAAGGCTCAGTTTGATGCCTAGCACTGAATAAGCCCAGCATAATGGTGCCTGATGAGCACATGCCCATAATCCTAGCATTATAAAGAAGGAAACAGAGCTGGAGAGATGGCCCACAGGTTAAGAGCACTGGTTGTTTTCCCAAAGGTCCTGAGTTCAATTCCCAGTAACCACATGGTGGCTTACAACCATCTATAATGACATCTGGTGCCCTTTTCTGGCACGTAGGCAGAAAAAAAAAAAAAAAAACCTAAAAAAGAAAGGAAAGAAAGGAGGACATAGATGGTCAGAAGTTCAAGGACCATTCATAGCTACACAGGAAGTTTTAGGCCAGCCTGGAATATATGACACCCTGTTTCCAAAAACAGCCAGTTGAGTAGATATAGAAAGAAGTTAAGGAATAAAAAAGAATGAGGAGAAATGGTCAGAATACAGTAAAATGGGGGGAGAGGTATGAGAGTATTATCATCTTCAGTCAGACTGGAGAAGACATTAGAACTGAATTCTTGGTGATCCTGTATTCAACCTCTTTATTTGATATCTGCTTGGCTGGTTACTCCCCACTCCTTCCACTGACAGGATGAGTCTATTGGTGGCAAAAGTTTGGCAACTGTACCAGGTTCAACAGCAGCAGAGAACTTAATTGAAACTGTGCAGATAACCACAGGTAACTTTTACAAGGTAAATGGTTTTTTATTTTTATTTATTTTTTTAATATCCTAAAGGCTTTAATGATTCACAACTATACAGGAAGAATTTGTTTGGTTTTTGTTTGTTTCGTTTTCTCCAAAGTATGTCCAGTAGATATCTTGCTCTTTTTGAACCCAGAATAGGATTGCTCTCCTTTCTTGTTCCAAGAATGCCTAATACAATAGCATGATAATGCTTTCTTTCTGTTTGGGAGATTTTTTTCAATGATTTTTTTATTTTATGTGCATTGATATTTTGCCTGCATGCATATCTGCGCTCAATCTCCTGGAACTAGAGCCACAGACAGCTGTGAGCTGCCATGAGGGCGCTGCGGATTAAAACCCTGGTATTCTGGAAGAGAATTCTGTGCTCCCAACCACGGAGCCATCTCTGCAGCCCCAGCTTGGGACATTTTTGTCATCTGATTTCATAAATCAGACTTGAGGAATGATCACTGACTAAAGTTTGGAAACCAAATTGATGACCTTAGATGTGGTATCAGGATACATACTAAATGATTCCACTTCCACAAATATAGTCACTTGAGACAGAATATGCCCACTACAGCCTCTGGGCTGACTTGAGGAAAGCCAGCTGCAGTTCTTTAGTTATGTTTTCATATAGAACTACTACTTAGTGCCTGTTTAGGCCTCTATACCTCTCTCACACAAAGACACAATAATTTAAAAATGCTCTAAGCCATGCATGAGGCTCTATGCTTGATCTGTGGAACTACCCAAAGTAATAATAAAGTTCAACACTTGCTTCCTTCAATCTCACTGAACATGAAGTGGTATGACACAGTACAGGAAAACATCATGAGGAGAAACGGCACATACTGCTCTTGGAGGGGACACAAGTTCCTACCTCTAAGTGTAGCAGCTCCTAACTGTCAGAAACTCCAAGGGCCTCTTCGGGCACCTGTGTACTAAAGAGCACATGCTCACACACAAACACACAGATACATAACGCGAAGTAATTTTAAAATTTTTTTTTTTAAAGAAAAAGAAAAGATTGTTGCTAAAACACTTCAAGGCTTAACGCACACTAATTTGGCATTTCCTTCAGCAATTAAAAAAAGTACCTGCCATGCCAAGACTACACCACTTTTTAGCTTTGTAACTTTTTCAGGTTCTTTAACATTTAAACCTGTTTCTCCATAAAATAAACTGGTAACAACGCCTGCCACACTTAAATATTCTCTAAAGAGAATATTTCTACTGTGTTTAATAAATGTTAGACTACATTACATTAATTCACTGACTTACGGATTCTAAAAAAGACCGATAAATGGCCTTCCATTTACACCACGTGATGTTAGGGATGAGAGCTATGAAAGGAAAATTCATCACACTTTCTGTGGCCTTAATGAGGACAAGCACCTACATCTTCCTAGATTTCTGGATGCCTAGCACTCACGGAATGTCAGTTACTTCTTCCATTACAAGCTAGAAAGTGAAGAAAAAAGACTAGGACAAGGGAGCAGCGGCCTGGACAGAAAGGGTAACTGTGACAGAGGTGAAGGTTCACGGCCTTCGGGGCGTTTCACCACCTCCGGCTCCACGCAGCTTTCTCCTGGATCGTTTCTGGGTAGCCGGCACCTTGGCCTCTCTGCCTCCTGCGTGCCTGTGTCCCCAGCAACTCCTCTCTCGTGCTGGGAGACACCTCCATCCCGCTACACGGGACGTCAGGGAGAGAAGAGCCGCCCTTTCCATTCCCAGGAGCCGCTACTCCAGAGCTGGAAGCCTCCCTCACCTGTGAGGCGGACACTGGGTCTCAATGTCAGCAGCGCCCGGGGGCCATGAGCGCCCATGGAAAGCCCGAAAGCAGAGACGCTCAGCTTGCGACATACGGAGGCTGCCACTACGGCCCCCTGTGGCTGCTGGGTCCCTCTCCCCGCTGCAGCCGGCAGCCGGGGGGTCCCCACCGCCACCTTCAACCAGCGTGGGGAGTACCGCGCAGCCATGTTGGCCCGGGGACACGGCGCCTGCGCAGACCGTCTCCAGCCGGCCTCGCCGGTCGCCCCTTCCGGAGGCGAGGCATCCGCAGCACGCGGGGCGGGAGCACTGCGCATGCGCCGCCGTTCCCGCAGCGTAGTACCCTGAGCCAACAAGGGCTGGACTGAGGATGTCAGCTTGTACATTTTCCCTGAATTGGGACTTTTGTGATTTACGAATGGATGCTGCACTTTACTTGTGAACGAGGTGGTTGAGTGTTGCAATTGTAATCTGCCCTGGGTGGGACTACAAACCCCAGCAGACAACGCGGCGTCAGTATCGCAGATTCCGGCATGCAGCGCGCGGCTGCCTTCCCTTGACCCTGAAAATTGCATCTTATTGCATGTTCTCTCGGAAAGCCTCCACCCTGCCTATTGGCTGCAGTTTTTGCGTGTCTGACTCCCGCGCAGCAGAACTTGAAACAGTCAGCTCTACCTACGTTAGTCTTCTCCAAACCTGTAGCGAGAATTTAATGAGTATTGTGAATGTCTACTATGTATCATATACCACATCCTCTTTGTTATCCATGTTCTAGAATATAATGTTAGAGCAATATAATGAGAATATAATGAGACTATGTAATAGAGAATATAATGTAAGTTTGCCCTAGAGGAGCAAACTCACTTCACAGGGACAGCACTCATAGTAAGTGCTATCAAAGGTACACAGTTACAAGCGTACCAGTATCCTCGATCTGTTTCTCAAACGTATAAGGCTTGGCGAGGAGTCAGGGATGGAGCTGAGGAGTGGTACTGTTAAACTATCTGAGCGATAATATCCATACCTGGACTTTAAAAACAAGTGTATCAAGTACATAGAGAGTATTCCAAGTGGCAAAAACTTCAAAAGCTACCAGACATGGTAGGACACACATGTAATAGCATCAGTTGGGAGGTGGAAGTGGGAGGATCAGGAGTTCAAGACCATTTTCAGTATATATAGCAAAATCGAGACACTCTGGACTGCATGATAACCTATGTTAGAGTTAGGTCCAAAGGAAACTCTAACTCCCCAAACTCCAAAGGGCAGTCCAAATATCCAGAACTGGACTATGGAGGACTTCTGGTGGTTAGATAAACGCCAGCTGGGCAGGCAGTAGTGGTGCCGGTATTTAGTCCCAGTACTTGGGAGGCAGAGACAGGTCTACAGAGTTTGAGGCCTGATCTACAGAGCGAGTTCCAGGACAGCCAGGATTATGCAGAGAAACCTTGTCTCTTGAAAAAAAAAAAAAAAAGAACAAATAATAAGAAGAAATAAAAATAGATAAATTCCAGAATTTCTCAGGAACTTGTGAAGCTGGTTCCCCTTTACCAGGAGGAGTCGTTTCCCTTATTACCGGCACAAAGGCAAGTGACCTTCTGTGATGCCTATTAGCATTCCAAAGCACATCTGACTTCCAGGCGCCTACAGTATTCCAAGTACCTGTAACACACTTCAGAGTCCATGCTGGCCCTTCCTCTTCATCTACTCTAAATTCTCCCAACTCATGAGTTTCCCTTCCCACGGCTACTCATTTTCTTTACATATAACCATGCTGTTTTCAATGTTTCTCTCTGTCTTCCTGTTGGTCTCCATGTCTGTCTGTCTGTCTTCATCTCTCTATCTGCTCCTGCTTCTCTCATGACCAGATCCAGCATACTATGGAGCAGTCATGCCATCAGTTTATACAAAAGTAACTTTAAAAAACTGCTATCTGAGCTGGGCATGGTGTTGAACACTTGTAATCCCAGCACTTCAGAGGCAGAGGCAGACAGAGCTCTGTAAAATCAAGGCCAGCCTGGTCTGCAAAGCAAGTCCGGGAAGTCACAGCTACACAGAAAAACCCTGTCTCAAAAAAACAAACAAAACAAAACCCACACACAAACAAACAAAACCCACACACAAACAAACAAAACCCCCTGCTATCAGAAAGTGTTGAAGTTTATGCTTAAGCCTTAAATTTAGCATATGAAGTTAGAAAGCTAGACTGGGCCTGGGTGAAAGTTAAAATTTCACCATTCTCCCGAATAAAAGGAAGGCAATTTGACAGCTCATGAATGGGTTTAGGATAATCAATGGAGACACACACACACACACACACACACACACACACACACACGCCCTCCTGTCTCCCTTAAATCTCAGCACTCAGGGAGGCAGAGGCAGGAGGCCAGCCTGGCCTACAAAGGGAGTCCAGGACAGACAATGCTACACAGAGAAACCCTGTTTCAAAAAACAAGCAAACAAACAAACAAAAAAAATCCTGTCTTGAAAAACCAACAAAAATAAAGAGTCAAAGTGCTCAAATACTAGGCCCTCCTGTGTGTCCTACAACTTTGTTTATCCTTATATTGCCCAGGCTAGCTCCAAACTAAACTGTGGGCTCCTCCCACTCACCCTTGAAAACTTCTAAGATTACAGATGTATACCACCTAACCCTGCAAGAATCGGTTTTATCGGAGCTAGAGAGATGAATCAGCAGTTAAGAGCTCGGGCTGCTCTTCCGGAGGATGTGAGTTTGATTCCTGTACCAGGGAGCTCTTGACAACCTGTAACCTGGTTCCACGGGTTGCAATGCCCTCTTCAGCCTCCACAGGCATCTTCACACAGGTGGTGCACACACAGATGAGCAGGCAGGAATACACACCCGAATAAAAGTAAATGGCTTCGCAATTAGGAGCACTTGTTCCACTTATTCTTGCAGAAGACCCAAGTTTGATTGCCAGCACCCATAAGGCATTTCACTACTGTTCATAACTCCAATTTCAGAGGATCCAACAGCTCTGACTCAAGCTCTCATGTTTGCAGAGCAAGCACAATTACCCACTGAGCCATCTTCCCAGTCCTGCCTCTTTTCTTTTTTCTTTCTTTCTTTTTTCTTTTGTTCATTCTTTCTTTCATTCTTTTTTTTTGAGATGGGGCTTAGTAGCCGAGGCTGTTTGACAACTCACTATGCAGCCCAAGATGGCCTCAAATTTGTTATGTAACTGAATCCAGCACTGAACTCCTGATTCTCTGTGTCTCTCTCTGTTGGATTTACAGATATGCACAACCATCTCAGGCTAGGATATCCTTTGAGTTTAATTTTTTTCCCTTTATTTTTATTTTAGGTGTGTGGGTGTTTGCCTATGTATCTGCAACACATGCGTGCAGCGTCCTTGGAGGCCAGAGGCTATTGAATCCCCGGGGACTGCAGTTACCGGCCATTGTGAGCCACTGTGTGGGTGCTGGGAATGGAACAAGAGTCCTCTGGAAAAGCAGCCAGTGCTGTAAGTGCTGAGCCATCTATACACACACACACACACACATTTTTGGCAGTGGGCAGTAGCTTCCTATGCCTTCTTCTTTCTCTCTCTCTCTCTCTTTTTTTTTTTTGAGACAATGAAGCCCAGAACTATGTAGACCAAGCCGGTCTTGAACTTCTGATCCTCCTCCTGAGTGCTGAGGCTATAGGGCTATGCCTCCTATCTATTTAATACAGTGTTGGGGGATGGAACCCAGGGCTTCATGCATACCTGGCAAGCATTCTACCAACTGAGCTACATCCCCAGCTAAAATCCCTTTTAAAGGAAAAAAAAAAAAAATGATGATCACAGATATTGAAAATAAAGCTATATATCTCTAGTGTGAAAATATAGCATTATGAAATGTGCATTTTTACCCAGGCAATGGTAGTGCAGGCCTTTAATCTCAGCACTTGGGAGGTAGAGGCAGGAAAGATCTCTGAGTTCAGGCCAGCCCAGTTTACAGAGTGAGTTCCATTACATCTCTACACAGAGAAACCTTGTCTCGGAAAAATTAAAAAAATAAAAATAAAAAATAAATAAAAGTACATTTCTATTTAAACTCCCTTTAGTGTGGATGATTATCACTCAAAATGCTGAATCTCTTGTGTCTCTCACAAGAAAAAGCTTTTAAAAACGATTTATTGTTTTTTTATGCATTTTGCTTGTATATATGTATGTATCACTTGTGCCCAAGGAAGTGAGATAAGGGTGTCAGATCTCCTGTAACTCGTGTTACACACATTTGTGAAACATCATGTAGCTGCTGCAACCAAATTTAAATCCTTTGGAAGAACAATCAATACTCTACCCGCGGAGCCATCACACAAGCCTCTAAGTTTTTAAAGATTAATTAATTTGTTTAAGACAATGTCTCTCTATCCCTGGCTGGCCTCAAACAGGTACACACCTTTAATCCTAGAACTCTGGAGGCAGAAGCAGGCGGATCTCTGATTTAGGGGCCTGCTTAGTCTACAGAGCCAGCTCCGGAACAGCCAGGGCTACGGAGAAAGAAACCCTGACTTGAAAAACAAACCAAAACACAAGAGAGAGATTCTCAGTGGTCCTTACTGTTATGAGGCCAGCTGCTTATCCTCAGTTTCTAGTCTAGTTAATTCTGTCCAGCTACTTGAGGAAGTACATAGTGGCACAGGCCGCACCCAGGTCATTGAAAATCCTCAGGGACTGATCCCGCGGCAATCGAAGAGTGGTCTCTTCGGGGAGACTGCTGAGGCTCACATGACCTCCGACCGGTGCAGTAGTCCCCAAGGCATCAGGGTGTGATTTCTCGGGGCCGCCCGGCAGCTATTGGCCGAGAGGCGGGGCTAGCGGCCGACTCGCGGAAGAAGAGCGATTCGGGGCGTGTCCAGGCGGGCCGCAGTAGCTCCCGATTGGTTAGCAGCATGTCGGGGCGTGTCCTCTCCAAACTGAGGACCGGTGGCCGTCTGCAAGAGTACGGAGTGGCTTCTCAGCGTGCACCTGAGAACAGGCGCCCCTAGTCCTCGAGTCTGCACTTGTTCTGTCCCAGCCGCCATGAACCGCTTCAAGGTGTCCAAGTTTCGGCATATGGAAGCCCGGCCGTCCCGCCGAGAGGTGAGCCAGGCCCGCGGATCCCACTCCCTGATGACTGACATCCCCCTGTGCTTGCTTGCACGGTGGTGCACACTCTGGGCTCCGAAGACCCTCACACCGCCCCGCCCGCCCCGAGCTTTCCACCCGGAAACCGCTTCCTTCAGCTGA